TTTCGAACTCCTGAGCTCAAACAATCTGCCCGCCTCGGCCTCCCAGAGTGCTAGGATTACAGGCGTGAGCCACCGCGCCTGGCCGAATCAATCATTTTTTGTATTTGGCTTCTTTTGTTTTGTGGCATGACTTGAAACTTTTTATTTTTAAAAATTTAGAGAGTATTTTTTTTGAGATTTTGTTAGAAAGTACAATTTAGGAAGAATTTAAAGCCATCAGTTACAATGATAACATAATGATTTATATTATGTCATCTGTGATAGAAGATGTTAGGAAGAAAACATTTTGCAGCCTTTGCGTTGGCTGATCTTGGACATCACAACTCATTAGATTTGATTGGTAACATCCCCCTTCAGGTATTTATATAAAGGGATTAGGGGCAGGCAATTTTGAATTAAGGAGGAACAGTTCCATTAAAAGCTTTAGTTCTAAGCGTGAAGAAGGGTTTTCTAGGTTAAGAAACTTAGATATGAAATAAGCCAAACTAAGACTTGTCAAAAGGGAAAAGTTAATCCTTTTGGATTTTAAGAATGAAGTAATAACATACACATACATCTACAGTCTGGTGTCTTGGTTCTGATCACAGGCCCAGTTTCCAAAGTGCCTGCTCACAGCTGCTAAATCCTGACTTTCTGAAAGCTAATGGCCAATTGTGGGTTAAGGGGAAGAGTTGAGGACAGTACTAATTTATTGAGAATGAGTTATATGCCTGGCCCCTTTTTACAGAGTAGTGCTTTCATTTTTCAGAACATGCTTACAAATTGACATTATTAGCCTTGTTTTTAGATGAAGAAACTGAGGTTCAGAGAGAGTTGGTAACTCACCATAATTGTCAAGCCAGTAAGAAGTAGAGCAGGATTGAACTCCAGCCTGTGTTTTTCTAGAACTCTTGCTCTGACCCACCTCAGCAGGTTGCTTCCTTGCCGTGTTCCTGAAATTTGCTCTGTGCAAGGACGTGGGAAGCCAGAGTATTTGCCAGGAACCCTGCCCATGAATCCTGGGCCTCGTACCTGCCTTTTCGCTTACCTGAGGAGGGTGCAGACCATTGCAGGATGGGGGCCGTGCTGAGTTCCCAGGGGTCTGCATTGTCAACATGGGAACACATGCAGGGTCACTGCACACGTGCTCTGAGGGCGAATACTGAGGTGGATCTTAGCCTTTGAGCCGTTGGATTATTTCTACTATGATTTGGACTCTTTGGATTCTGTTCTTTTTTTTGTATTTGGAGATTTTTTAGTCCTAATGAGAGAAGCTTTGCTTCCTGCGTGAGAGTGGAAGTATTGTGGGGACTGAGGCCTCACTAGCATTTGTTTTTCTGTCTATTATTATTTGGAAGAAGGGTCTGGAAAAATGTACTCTGGCAGAGTTTACTAAGGATCTAAGCCCCCCCCCCCATTTTTGGTGAATATGTACATTATAAATAATCACCTAGGAAACCTTCTAAGAGAATTGTCCACATTGTTATATGACGTTGATCTTTCTCTCACTCTCTCTTTCTGCTATTCCTACCAGCAATAAAATAAGTAGTATTTTAATTAAGTCAGATTTTGAAATCTTAGTATTGCTTGTTCTTCATTGTGACATCCATACTTGCTAAACTGTGTTTTAGAAGAAAAAAATTTAGCAGCCACTACCTCCTTTATAGACCGTGTAGAATTTCTTAGAACAACAGCAAGGCTCACGTTTGCTGCTAGTGAATTTGAGGACCTGATCGGCTTCATTTATTTATATTTGTATTTAATTTGTATTTAAATTACAGATCTTTACTGTGTTGTCTTTATCTCATTGTGATTTTAAAGTGAACATTTTTCAATTTGGAGCACCTCATTCATGTGTTTTTCATACAGTACCTTTTACAATCTACAGGTGTATTTGTCAAACCTTGCATGAGAAGATCACAATTCTGGTGACTCATCAGTTGCAGTATCTCAAAGCAGTGAGTCAGATCCTGATACTGAAAGATGTGAGTAATTTCTAGAAGTTTCCTGAACTTTCTGTCCTATTGGATTTAGGGCATGCTGGTATGGATGGCCTCATCCTAACTTGATTACATCTACATCTGCAAAGACCCTGTTTCCAAAAAAGGGCACATTCACCAGTACGAGGATTTAGGACTTGAACGTATCTTTTTGGGGTCCACTATTTAACCCTCAGCTCCAGCATGGTTGGGGAGGTGAAGATTAGTGAGTTTTTCAGACCTCAGGTGATTTGATGCATCACTCTGACGCTTGTTTGCCTCCCTGGCTGAGCACCCCTGTCTGTTCCAGCAGGTCCTGGGTCAAATCCCTTATTGTAGGTCTGAAACTCCCTTAGTACCCTCAAACATTTCCCCTCCTACAATCTCTTGGTAAAATAATGGAAATAACAAATAATGAATATTACTACAGTTCACAAGATCTGTGTGTATCATCGTCACAGATAAATTTCACATTATTGCAACAAGCAGGATACATATTGATAGCAAAGTTCTTGCAGGTCATTTTTTAAATGTCTCCTAGCTGGTTAACGTGACTACTAAAGAACAGTGAGGAACCTGTCCACCGAAGCTCTGTCAGATGAATTCTTGCCCCAAGGAGGACTATAAAAGAACTGCTGCCTCTTCAGAAGCAATTCCATATGACAGTTCTTCCCCACTCCCCCAGGAATAGGGAGCTCGGGTTCCTCAAACTTGAAAACAATTTTGTGTGCGGAGGGCTAAAACTAGTTTGGTAAGACCCAAATGTTGGTCATACTAGGAGAATATTACAGAATCCACAGGTGGTAGAGAAACGTTATCACCAGTCCCCAGATTTTGTGGCGCCTCCTGTATTGATTATTTTGGGCATGCTTCCCCAGTTTTAGTACTTTCAAGACAACTATTTTTCTACTGTGGGGAACCCCTGGATGATCTGGGGTCCATCCTTGCTGTTGGTGTCGTCCCTGCCTGACAGCAGTGGGGGGGATGGCTGCCCCCTCCGAGCCCCCTCGGAATTTCTTGTCAGTACTTGGCTTCTCAACCAATAGCAGTTTCTTTGTGTGTTGTGCACATACTAAGTGAAAAGTGGTGATTTCATTAAGCAAAAGGTGTGAATTTTACTTCCCAGGTAGAACAAGATGTAATGTACCAGGAAACATTTTCTAATCCTCTAGTTTGAAACTACTTCAAAGAGTCCAACGGCCCAAGGGCATCACTGGATTCTTCTTGCTGCACCACCTTGCGGGCAGTGGGAGGATTGGGCTAGCACATGGGGATCCTGGCCCACTTTCCCCCACCTGTCCTGCCTTAACCTTAGATGCTCTCTTTTGATTTGTTTTGTATCCTGAGATTTTGACTAATATTTTGCTTGTTACTATTTGAGTAAATCAGCTGGGTCTCCTTTCATGGGGTGAGAAAATAGTAAAGATATGTATACATTGTATATTATTTTCTATAACTTTGTAAGAAAGGGAAACTGCGCAGAAAGGTGTCTCCTGGAATGTTGAATTTTCATTTAGGAACTGCCTGAGTTGGTGGGATGGTTTTAGAGTGAAGACCATGAACATGCAGCTCCCAGGGTCTGTGACTAAGGCTGGTGCCCACACACCTTGTCCCAGCAGGTCACGTGGCACTTGGCCAGCAGAGGGTGGCCTGAGTGACTTCTGCAAGGGCGGATATGCTCATGCCCACCTCCCTGTCACTCTTGAGTTTCTTTCCTGGAATATCTTTCCCAGTTTTCTCTGTTCCTTTAATTCTTATCGCACGAGGCTTAACTCAGTTTTCACATTTTCTATAAAGACTACTAATATGCCCACCAACAGCTATGCTTTTTGCTTCCTTAAATGCCCATAGTGTTGACATAAATGACCTGCATTTGTAACGCATTATCACACAATTTATTTTTTTTTAATATCCCCTGACACCTACCACAGGATCTGGCAGAGAACAGAATGCTCAGTCAGATATCGAGTTGAATTGTACAAGATTTGTCAACCAGGATTCCAGACCTAAACATAATTATAATTTAAGACCAATTAGCTTTACTTGATTAGAATTAGATTAGGTTAGTATTGCCATGTGCACATGTATTCCTCTGAAATTCTTTATTTTTCTTTTAGGGTAAAATGGTGCAAAAGGGGACTTACACTGAGTTTCTGAAATCTGGGGTCGATTTTGGTTCCCTTTTAAAGAAGGAAAATGAGGATACTGAACAGCCTCCGGGTGCAGGATCTCCCACGCTAAGGAATCGGACCTTCTCAGAGACTTCGATTTGGTCTCAACAGTCATCTCAGCCCTCACTGAAAGACGGTGCTCCAGAGAGCCAAGACGTGAGTTCATCTCATGCTACGTCACCCACTGGTGTTGTCACCTCCTAGTGGCCTCTTGGATCTTTGGTTCACTCTTCACAGGACATCATCATCTGTCCCAAAGTAGATTCTGTGCCTCCAGGGCCTTATTCAGCGGAATTGATAGAATTAGGGGAACAAACCTGGTTGGGGCTATCTGAGTTATTGGCCAGTGAATCTCCTAGAGGTCAGTAGTGGGTGCACATGCTGCTGGAAATCCCGAAGGTGTGTGTGGCCCACACTGATTCTATAGCTCTTAAATTCACCGTGGGAAAATCCTACTTGCTCTGGTAGTCCCAGGCTTCCCCTTTGCATCCAGAGGCTTCATTTGGAGACTCCGTTAGACAGAGTCCTGCTGTGGGTAACATTCAGCCAAATTGGAATGTTCTGACAGTGTAGGTATCTTATTCTGTCCTGTTGTCAGACGGTTTGTGTTAGGTCAGGAGTAGCACGTGCAAAGACCTAACAATTCCTCTCCCACAGCAGACACTTCAGAGTTAGTTCCCGACTTCCTCCCTTACCTTTGAAGACCAGAATCTACATCTTTTTTTTTTTTTTGAAGATGGAGTCTTGCTTTGTCACCCTGGTAGAGTGCAGTGGTGTCATCATAGCTCACAGCAACTTCAAATTTCTGAGCTCAAGTGATCCTCCTGCCTCAGCCTCCCGAGTAGCTGGAAGTACAGGCTCATGCCACCATGCCCGGCTAATTTTTCTGTTTTTAGTAGAGACGAGGTCTTGGTCTTGTTCAGGCTGGTTTCGAACTCCTGAGCTCAAAAGGCCCTCCCACCTCGGCCTCTCAGAGTGTTAGGATTACAGGTGTGAGCCACTGCGCCCAGCCTCATAATCTACATCTTATTCATCTTGGAATTTCCACTGGACAGCATAGAGCCAAGTACATCCTGAGATCTTTTGAATTTATAGTACATTTTAAGTCCTCCAGGCAGAAATGTACTACAGCTCCCTTAAAAATACCTAGAGAGATAGTCCTCATCATCCAAACCCTCAGTATCCACATCCAGGAGCCTACATCATTCTTGTAAGTATTCTGACTAGTTCTTAAGAATCAGTTTCTGAAACTCCGGAACCAAATAGATTTGGATCATGTGCGATCCCTTGCTTTCCCAACTGTCATTACCGAAACTCACTGAGTGACCTCAGTTACTGTGTTTGGCTAACATTTTGACTCTCTCCTCTGTTTTATGTTTCCACCTTGAATAATGCAATCTAGAGTGACACATGAGTTCCATGTCATTTTGTATCTGATTTTGGAATAAGTTTCTGCATCTACAGTTGAATTTGGGTATGCTAGGCAAGGGCTGAAAATCCTGACGTCATGCTTTAAGCAGATTCACACCACAATGTGCAAATGATATTTCCTTATTTGTAATAGACTCTTAGTAGTGGGTTGGCTGGGTCAAACGGTAAATGCATGTACGGTCTGGCTAGATATTTCCACACGTTTCTCCACAGGAGAGGTACCATTTTGGACTCTTGCCTATAGTGTGTGACATGGGCCTGTTTTTCTACAGCTTTTTAAACAGAGTACAATGTTAGCTTTTGAAACATATTTTGTATACTATTTTGCCTCTTACTGACTTTTTTTTCCCTTCTCAGAATGACAACGTACAGGTAACGCTGTCAGAAGAGAGCCGATCTGAAGGAAAAATTGGTTTTAAGGTGTATAAGAATTACTTCACAGCTGGCGCACACTGGATTGTCATCATTTTCCTCATTCTTATAAATGCTGCAGCTCACGTAAACAATGACCTTTGTTTTGTACCCTCTGATATTTATAGTATCCATATTTATGATATTATTACTGCATTTTGCAGTTCACTTGGGATTTGTGTTGAAATGTGTTATCTGTGAGGAACAAAATGGGGGGGGTGCTTCCTCGTGTTACATGTACACTACAAAGAACTTCCAGAAAAAAGGGTATTTTTAAAAGATTTTTAAATGTAATATGTGTTTTCTTGTCCTGTATTTGGGAGGTTGGGCTCGGCATGGACCCGAGCTAGAGAAACCATCTTTTGTCTGAAGACTTTCTTTTGCTTATCCATTTTAGTGATTAAGAGTTTCGGGTTGGTGAGTCATGGCAAAATTTCATATTGATTTTTTTAATTTTCTTCCCCTCCTGTAGGTTGCCTTTGCTCTTCAAGACTGGTGGCTTTCTTACTGGTGAGTTACTTCTGGTCTGACGTGTGAAGTGCTATGAAATCACTGTGAAGACTCGCTTTTCCCCAGAGTTAGGGGGAGAGAGTTGGAGATTGTCGAGCCTTCTCCTCTAATCCTCACTTACTCCACATGGAGAAAACGGAAAGTTCCTGCTGGGGGAGTGTAACCCGTAGTGGTCTCCACCCATGTCTGACCCTCAGTGGCATCTTCACGGACAATTATGAGAACTGAAAGTCAAGATTCAAATTGAATTTTTGTGAAGTAGATGTACCCAGCACTGCCTGGGCTGGGGGTTATTTTCCAGCATACAACATTTCTCCCAAGTTGAGGTTCATTTTTTGGGTATTTATCTGAATTCCATCTGTAGGGTAATATTTTCTTTCTCCCTTGTTCCATAGGGCAAACAAACAAAGTATGCTGAATGCCACTGCAAATGGAAGAGAAAATGTAACTGAGAAGCTAGATCTTAACTGGTACTTAGGAATTTATTCAGGTAAAGTTTCATCATTCGGTCTATTATCTGAGAGGCTGAGGTGCTTACAATGAGCCTGTGTGAGTAACTAGGGCTTCCAGAAGTAATTCAGTAATGTCTTAACAGATTAGGAGTCTCAGTCGCATTTACTCTGTGAATTAATTAGAATAATTATTTTTAAAATCTACTAGAAGAAAGAGGTTGAATGAAGACTCTTAATTTGCTCTGTACTGGATTTTGAAAGTTAAACCGGGATTGAGCATTCAGAAAATCAGCCACTGGAAATTTGTGGCTATTGTCTATTCTAATAGGTTGCTTTAGCTAAATCTTATATCATTATATGGATGGGCAAGGGGATTAGAAATGGATCCCCACCCTGTGGTTCGGATTGTTCCAATTCTGTCTAAATAAACCTTGGCTTTTATTGAACTTGGATGAAATCCTCTGGCAGCAAGGCCCCCAAAATGAAAGCATTATTCCCTCACAGGTATGCAAAGCTCCCTTCACCACCCTGCTCATCTCTCGGGCTTCACTAATTACTTAAGAGGGAAGCTGAGCTGGGAAAAATGCAGCGTCTGGGAATTAGGACTCCTTCTATTTCTTACTTTGAGATCACAATGTTATCACGCCCCCAACTGTGTGATTAATTTAACATTTGGCTTGCCAGCCTAACATTAACAGCGCGCTCTGTTTTCACAAGAGTGCTTGGAATATATGTAGCATTATATACTGTTTAAAGGAAATCCTCATCTCATATTTTAAGTATTTCCACAGGAAACACTCATACAAGCTTTCCTCAGAGATAGAGTGAGTTATCTTTGTAAGAACCCACTCGTTGAAATTTGGTATTTATTTCGTTGATTACTTGCTAAGAAATCTAAATCCATTAGCTGTTTACCTTCTGAATTGGTGGATTATGTGAAAACTAAAGGAAGAGGGAAAACGGTTCTGTTACATGTTCGTACAGAATGCTGGGCTAAAGAAAAATGCCTGTTGATAGAGTTTAGGAATTTGCGTTCCTTCTGCAGGTTAAATAACAGTGGTGTGTCTTCTGTAGGTGAAATATTGTTACAGAAGTTACCTGCACTCTATTTAGCATTGTGAGTTGAGAGGTTAGGAAAGCTCTCTTCATTTCTGTGTGCCCAGTCGGTACTTATTCATGTCTTAATGAAATACATAATTTAGAGTAGACTATTATACTTATTTTAAAATGCCTTGTATTTATATAGAACGTATAGTGGGGGATTAATTGCTTATTTACATTATCTTATCTTAAAATATAATTTGTATTTCTTGCAATTCAACTCAGTGAAAAATGCAGCTCAATTCAATTCAATTTCAAGTCTTTGAAAATGGAGGGTTGCTAGAAGAAAATCACTATTTAATAGGTTTTTCACATACAACTTATGCTGGTATTTTTAAATTCTTTAAAGCTAGTTGGGCATTTTCTACAAGGAAAAGGTATCATTTCTTCTGTTCCCTGTTAATATCACATGTCGGTACCAAAACGTAACACAAGTTTAGATTATGGGACATAATGTGAAAAGTAAGTTTGGGATATGGAGATGAAAAGATGAATTTTTTTTTGATTGTTTATCTTCTGGGTTTTTAATAAAATTTTCAATTGAATTGGGAAAACCTGGAATGAATTTGTATCTACACCTGATTTTTTTTTACCTGTGTAATTTCCTCTCTGTGAGAAAAATAAACTATTTTAATTATTTATCAGTGTATTTTGCAAATACATTATGTTTGTAGAATTCAGATGCTTTATGGAATAAAATAATTTCTTTATAAACTTCCCGACTTTAGCATTATTAAAGAAAATGCAGAGATACGCCGTGTTCTCAGAGTGCTATTTCTTTCTTTCAGGTCTAACTGTAGCTACTGTCCTCTTTGGCGTAGCAAGATCTCTGTTGGTATTCTACTTCCTTGTTAATTCTTCACAAACATTGCACAACAAAATGTTTGAGTCTATTCTGAAAGCTCCGGTATTATTCTTTGATAGAAATCCAATAGGTAAGTCAGATACCAAGTTTCTGAGTAAATATGTCTTGTTAATAACTCATTTGGGATCTGATTACATTTTGGTCTTCGAAAATGGAGAGAATGCTAGAAGAAAATCACTATGCATGTTGATTCATTTTCTACAAAAAAGCATCACTAATATTTTTCTCCTACCAGAGAAAATCTGAATATAGGGGGCATATAATCTTATTCCATTTTACGTGTTTGTGAAAAAATAAATGAAGGTTCACTTTGCAGAATGATTTAGGAATCTGTTGTGAGGCATATAAAACACTCTGCATTTCATGTAAACATGTTTAAATGTAGTGGAATAGTTGCTAAAACACTGGCTGTATTTACATAGCGTTAGCCTATGTCACCTTTGGAAAGGTCTTATCAGGAATGCTCCTTGACATGAGACAGGCTGTGTTTGTTTCTTTCACTGAGAGCTCTTGTATGTACTTTGACTATGAGGTTTCCCTAAAATGACAATTAAGAGTTAGTTAAAACCCGGTATTGGTAAAATGTAAATACCTCCTTTCATAAAATTTTAGCTCTGTAGTTTTACCAAAGGGTTGATGGCCCCAGGCTGAGGGCCTTTGACCTGTCTTGCTTCTGACCCTTTCTGACCTGGGTTCCTATGGAGAGTTAGTCATCACTATACGTCCCCCACCCTGGGCAGTTGGGTGGACTTGTGGTGAGGCCCACAGTGGCTTTGTGCAGATGATAACTGACGGGACCTGTAGAAGCAGGAAGTCGCCTGGAGGGAGCATTGGAGTAGCTTTGGAACTTTTCGTTGAGCTATCTGACAAAGGCTCAAGCACACAGGTGGTTGTAGATGGGCAGATCTCAAAGCACATGTCACTGTTCAAAGTGTGGACTTAAGCCAGCTGCCTAGGTTCAGTTCTGGTGCTAGTGACTAATAGCAATAGCTGGTTACAGTTATATTAATTTTCATGTGCTAGTCACTTCTTTTTCTTTGCCTCAGTTTCCTTATCTGTAAAATGGACTTCCCATTCATACCTCCTGTACTGGAATATTTTAAGAATTAAGCAGGTTAATACATCCCCAGTGCTTGACATAGTGCTTTGCCACATGGTCAGTGCCTAACGAATGCTAGCCACGGTGTTGCCATGGTATCTCTGAACTTGAGTTTCCTCACATGTAGGATGGAAGCAACAACTCCTGCCCCTCCTGTTTTACACGATTATTGTGAAGATTAAATGAGACCGTTCTGGAAAGCAGGTTATGTAGATTTGTAGAACACATATTGTTTAGTCCAGGCACTGTGCAAGGAATTGTAAACCGCAGAGGCCACACAAATCTATGTTTTTTGTTTTTTTTTTTTCATTTCAGCATATTATGGGGGTACAGATGTTTAGGTTACGTATGTTGCCCTTGCCCCTCTCCCTCCTCCAAGTCCAAGCTTCAAGCGTGTCCATCACCTGGGTGGTGCACATTGCACTCATTGTTTATGCATATGCCTATCCCCTCCTCCCCCCTCCCAACTCCCCCCTCTCCCCTGCCCAACATCCAGTAAATGTTATTCTTATATAAGCACTTAAGTGTTGATCAGTTGATACCAATTTGATGGTGAGTACATGTGGTGCTTGTTTTTCCATTCTTGGGATACTTCACTTAGAAGAATGTGTTCCAGCTCCTTCCAGGAGAATACAAGAGGTGCTATATCACCGTTGTTTCTTAAAGCTGAATAGTACTCCATGGTATACATAAACCACATTTTATTAATCCACTCATGTATTGATGGACACTTGGGTTGTTTCCACATCTTTGCAATTGTGAATTGTGCTACTATAAACATTCAGGTGCAGGTGTCTGTCTTATGAGTATCATTTGTTCTTTTGGGTAGATGCCCAGTAATGGGATTGCTGGATCGAATGGTACTTCTACTTGTATCTCTTTAAGGTATCTCTGTATTGCTTTCCACAGAGGTTGCACTAGTTTACAGTCCCACCAGCAGTGTATGAGTGTTCCTGTCTCTCTGCATCCACGCCAACATTTATTGTTTTGGGACTTTTTGATAAAGGCCAGTCTCACTTGAGATAAATGATATCTCATTGTGGTTTTGATTTGCATTTCCCTGATGATTAGAGATGTTGAGCATTTTTTCATATGATTTTTGGCCATTATTCTGTCTTCTTTTGAAAAGTTTCTGTTCATGTCCTTTGCCCACTTTTTGATAGGGTTGTTTGATTTTTTTCTTGTTGATTTTCCTGAGTTCTAAGTAGATTCTAGTTATCAGTCCTTTATCGGATGTGTAGCATACAAAAATTTTGTCCCATTCTGTAGGTTGTCTGTTTGCTCTTGTGACAGTTTCTTTGGCTGTGCCGAAGCTTTTTTGATTATAGCTGTAGTTAGAAAGTGATTGGAGGAAGTCTGTACTATTAGGGCCATAAAGTTGCTCCACTTTGCCAGTTAATTTGAAAACTGCTGTCATAAAGTTTGGAGCATTAAGCGGGACTGCATTTTTGTTATCACGGGCCTGTGAACGCTCATGACTACAGTTAACCAGCGTCTTCATGGTCAAGACCTGTAGGCTTGTCCTCATGATGATTTATTTATTATTCGGGGATTTGGGACCCAGTCGCTAATCTTATGGCCGCACACTAGCGTTTATCTTGCCACCCCTCCTAGATCTATTAGCAGTATTTTTATCCCTACAACAAAATAGAAGCCCAAATAAGTACTCTAAAGAGAGGCCTAGTTTGCCCAAAATGTTTCGAGGTCATGAATTATTTACTTTCTTAGTGGTAGATTTAGAAAAAAATACATTAAAAAACTAAATTAAAAAAATTTTTTTAATGGTAGATGTAAATTCATTTGGATAAAATTTTTGCACTAGTTACAATGGTAAAAGAGACATCAAAGCTGTAAATTATGCCTCATAATTTAGACCATTGATTATATGTACATTAATGGTTATGTAACATTTTAAAAAATTCCCTTCTAGGGCAGTGAGGCGTAGGCATTCTACTGAATATACTATATGTTAAATGTATATAAGTGTCCTTCATAATGTCGTCGCCTGCCCCCATCCCCGAATTGCAGAGTGTGTTCTCTGAGCAGCATAGAGACCAGGAAGCTTGTCTTTTTTCTTCTGAATACTTACTTATTCAGGGCAAGCTCTCACGGGAGCCCCATGGGTCAGTAAGAGTTTCCTGTGAGCTCAGCATCCTCACAACCTCCCAGATTTTAGAAAACCAGAGGAACAACGGGGACCTTTGCTGGCGTGCAGTTTCCAGTGAGCTGGACTTGGAATGGCGACTGGTACAGAAACTCCAGGGCGAGCACATAGAGGTCTGGCCAGACTTCCTTTGCATCCTCATCTCCGGTTCCACCTGCGCCAGAATATTCTCAGCACCCCTGATCCGGGTTATAGAAAGATCTTCCCCATTCATTCATGGCTGTCCCCACCCCCATGAGCTATCTCTCTAATCATACTTCCTCCCAGATGCTCATCCTTGTTGTTAATCAGTGGTGAACCTTTGTAGTAACTCAGAGAACCAGATGTTGAACAGAGGGTCCCCACTTGCTGCCCGGCTGTAGTGTCAGGGTCACTTACTTGGAATTAAGGAGAAGAGCCAGTTAAACCTGTCAGTAGTGAAGTTTCTCTGACCACACTTTAGCCATTTCAGATGGCTGATTTCTAGGAACATCACACCTCCCCAAAGGGCAAGATTTTAAGTTAATCTCCGTTTTGAACCCACGTGTGGTTACATCAAGTTTGTCTTATTTCATTTATAGAATACAATATGTTATCATCTACTGGTTTTTCATTAACTTGATAAATCTTAAGCTGTTTGAGTAAAATTTGAACCAAACCAGTCGGTAGCCTTAAAATGACAGGGAGCAGTTTTATTTTTTCCTCTTCTCTTCTTTTTGCCCTCCTTCCTCTCACCCGTCTCTGTTTTGTTCTCTCCCCCTTCTATGCATTTGGGTAATGGTATTGAGCGTGTCTGTTACAGGGTCTCACTTCTCAGCTGCCCCTACACCTCCTGCCATCTTGGTTGTGACCTGCGTTGAGTAGTGCACAGTGCATTTGCAGACAGGTCCTGATGTCATTTGCTGCTTCTGCATCTTCCTAGTAACAGTTTTTCTGTCTTAGGCCCGTGTCAGTTCTGTCCGATTCTTGATAAACAGGTAACTCAAATCTCAGGTCAGCAGTAAGTCATTCAGAAACTAAGAGATAATTTCTATTTTAAATGTAAATCCTGTTTTCCTTGCATGAGCAGAATCCATTTTACTTTTGATATCCAGCACAAGAGGGCAGCATGATCTGCAGTATTTCAGGGATAATAATATAGAGCACCTTGTTGTAAAAACCTGGTTTTTATTTTAAAGCTTTCTTGGAAATTCCATTTTTATAGCTTGGGTCTTTGTATTTTGATATGTCTTAATATGAAATTGTAAAAGCATTTTCATGGTTTATTATGTTTGAAACATTGAAGTCTTTTTTAAAGAAATGTTCCTGTGTTACCCTATAATACTTAGGATTTCAAACAATGTTATTTAGATTTTCTAATTAAGACCTTCTCGACTAATACGTAGAATAGGTAAGACACTGACATCTTGGCTGGTATATTTTAATTCTGAAGGTTAGATTATGGTGGCTTGTATGATCTGTTTCTGTTTTCTTCTTAAATATGATTTTAGGGAAAAAGATGACAACATAGTTTGTTCAGTTTTCTTCCATGCCAGTAGAGCTAGCAGAGACATTTTATTCTCGTCAAGTTTCTACAGTTTCACCTTTTGTTTTGTAGAGAAGATGAGTGGTTAGTTGTCTATTTGCTCATACCATGTGGCTGAATACATTGACTCCAAGGGATTCTGGATCAACATTTATTTGTTTTCGATTTGTTAATTTGGCTTTCAGAAACTGAGCCACTTTTGCCGGTAGATGCATTCGTTTATTCTTCAGGAAAGTACAAAGTTGATACTGGGTTATGGCCAGTATATTCATTTCACACGACTGATTTTTCTGCTCTCTGTGA